GGGGGGGGAGCTTCTTAGCCAGGCTCTGTTAAGAAGGCATCCTGAGAAGGTGCTTAATTAACCTGAGCCGCAGTGTTCCTATCTGTAAAACAGAAAGCCATCTGGGGTCTCCGAAATCTCAGAAATCTTCATCCCGCCGCAGACCCCAACTTTCTCCCTTTTGCTGCGTTCCTCCTCAGGGCTCTTGTGCAGGCCCACCTGGCCAGGGTGAGGGCAGGCATGGGAGGGACACCTTGCCATCAGGCAAGGCTCACCTGGACGCCTAGTAGGGCGCCCTCTGGGGGCAACATCGTCACACACACACACACACACACACACACACACACACACACACACACACACACCCTCAAGCTCCTTTATCCCCCAAAGTAAAGAGACTGTTGCTGTAGAATGGTCTTCATACCCCATCCCCCCTCAGGGTTAACCCCACCCCAGCAGTGTGCCCAAGCCACCCACTGCAACCCAGACTTCCTCAAGGAGGAGTGCTGCCAGCAAAGAACCCCATCTCCTGGGAAGGCGCCAGGGACCTTACAGTCCCCAAGCCAGCAGAGGTCCATGCACGGGGGGTCGTTCTAGCACCCATGATCCCAGTGAACCTGCCCTCCACAACCCCACCTCCCCACTTCCAGGGATGGGGATCCACCTGGAGGCTGACTCCAGGGACACTGGCAGAGGTCAGGCAAGGGGGTGTGGTGGCCTGAGGATCGGAGACAGCCTGTGTGACCAACAGATAAAACTCAAGTCTAATTCATGGAACAATGACAAATGTGGGCTTCCTTTGACCATGCTAATCTGTCCTCTTGATATGAGGGAGCACCCACCGCCTGCCAGGCCAGCTTGCCTGGCTCACCTGACTGCCTGCCCCTGATACAAAGCCCCTGGAAAAGACACGCCACCAAGCGCCAGACGGAGAATGCTACGTCCTGCAGACCAAGCCTGGTACTCCAACTTTGCAGACTTGCCTGACCCTCAGGGCGCAGATTTCCTTGGCTCTGAAGAGAGGGGAGTGAGACTGAGCACCCAGTGGCGCAGGCTAGGCGCAGGATGGAGGGGGGGAGGTAGGGGGGCGGGACGGGGAGTGCAGCGAGTGCCCTGCCCACCCAGGCGGCTGGGTTCCCATACCACACTGCTTCTTTGGGAGTCTCAGAACCGCTCAGCGAGTGGGTAGTGCTGGTGATGCCACCCTCCCCCTTCGTGACCACAACATGGAGGCTTGGGGGGCGGGGGTGACCGCAGGCATCCCGAGTGGATCCTGGGGCCCCTCCGCAGCTCCGTCTTCTCTCCTCAGTGGCCAAGATCTGCGCGCAGTGCGAGATGGAGCACAGCGCCGACGGCCTCATGGACCAGATGTGCTCCAGCGACTTCGGTGAGCGTGGGCCCGCGCTGCCGCCCCCAACCCAGGAGCCCTCCACTCCCCCATAACCACCCCCCACCCCCCCCACCCTTTTGCAATCTGATCATAGGCAGGAAGTTTCTCCTCCGAGAAGCGCGCCTCCTTTAGACTAGACCTATCAGACTGCAGGAAAACGTCCGTTTTCGTTCCATTTTCCACACGCTTCTTGGAAGCCCCCGTGTATTGTGGTAAAATTCACAATCCAGGTCAGTGTGAGGTGGCACTTAGTACATTCCTAATGCTAAGTACCCATCAGCGAGCGCAATCTATTCCACAACATTCTTATCTCTAGAAGGGGGCCCTGACCCTTCAAGCAGCCACTTGCCCCTGCCTGGCACCCGACCTGCTTTCTGTGGTTCTACATCTCAGTGACCAGAGCGGCCAGGGCACTGTCCAGAGGGCTCTAGCTCTCTCCAGGATGGATAGGGGGGGCTGGGGGGTAGCGGAGAACACTGCTACTGCAGGACATGTGGGAGTGGGGTGGCAGGGACAGCAGTGTCCAACAGAAAGAGAAGAATCAAAGATGTTTCGAAATTTCATTTTGTCTTCTCC